TAGTTAAATTATGTCTGAATTTATTATGTCTGTATAGGTCTTTTATTAAGTTTTTAGTTTTATTTAATTTGAGTTATTTTAATACTTCAACAAACTAAATGGAAATAAAATAATATATATATTAAATTTATAAATGTGTATGTGTGTATATATATATATATATATGTGTGTGTGTGTGTGTGTGGTTGTACATACACATATGTAGTTGTTTTTTTTGGTGTTTGGCTTAGTGTTATGTTAGAATCATTATTATACTCTTATACCTTTTGTTCTTTAATATTTAGAATTGTTTTTAGCTTTATTTTTTGTTTTTCATTTAAATGTTAAGTTTTGAAATTTTGTTGTATGCATTTGTCATTTTTATTTAATTTATTTATTTTTAAAACGTGTGTAAGTAGTATTTATAAAGGTTTAGCTTTTAGTTTTGGATCTGTTTTTAGTTGTTTTAATACTACAATTGATTGCTTCGGTTGTCCTCATTTGTAAATAATTTCAGTTGGTTGCCAAGGTAACATTTCTCAAGTTTAAGTTTTTCACCCGAGGTTTATATATTATTTCAGCTTTATTTCAGTTAATGAAAACGATTTTAAAGAGTTTAAACAGTTGTAGTTAACAATAACAACACTGATAATATAATATTGATATAATACTATTTGTCGAATCACAATGTATCAATTATGTTGTTAGATCACAGTTTCAAGCTTGATCCTTTGAAAACCATAAATCCAGGATAAAGGGGCTGAGTGAATGTTGTCTTGACTCTTTTGAGAAGGGTCATTTTGTCAGAGACACTGTAGAAGGACAGAATTCCTGCACTGTGATCCACATACACTCCCATTCTAGAGGACTGTAGGGGACTGTAAGGGTGCAATAATTTTACTGTGTACAGAATTGTGTGTGAATAAGAGATCTAAGTTAGTGTTTTGCAATGTCCAGGACTGGTCATTATATCCAAACTCACCCTCATCACCCTTCCTTTCGATGCTCTTATAAGACACTGATATTCTCACCCAACAATTCCCACTCCACTCAACCTCCCAGTATGCACATCCACACACACTCTCTCTACACAACACCTGAGGGCTGACTTTAAATCTGTCTGGATGTACAATACACAGCTGGACTTTGTCAGTATAAGTAACGACTGTGTTCTCCTGAGACAGACAGAGGTGGATATTGGCTGTGTTTGGATCCAGACTGAGCTGAAAGTAAAAAAATACATAAATATTATAAATAAATACACAGATTAGAAATAAACATTAAGAATTAAACCGTATAATTAATAAGATTAAAATAAATTTTTAATTAATTTAAAAATTAATTAAAATGAACAAGATTGTTTGTAATATTTAAATCTTCACTATGTTTTAATGAGTAGTGTAAGACAAAAACAACAAGAAAGAAAATCTGTACAGCAATACTTTCAAGAAATCAAGAATTAATGGGCTTTATACTACAAATCATATTTAATTCTTTAAAAAAAAAAAAAAAAAAAGTTATGTTCTACCATACTGAATACTATGTAATGAATTTGTATGGAATGATGTTTAATCATTGTGTCAAAGAAAGAATGGCATACTGGGAAATAATTTGTTTTCCTGTGAATTTGAACAGACATGCGATAGATAGATGGACGGACAGAAACACTTACTACCACGATCTGCTACGGTGCGGGAACACGAAGCAAGGAGCGAGGAGACCAAGAGTACAAAAACCAAAGAATTTATTAATCTTCACGGGGCATCACACGTAGCACAAGGAGTAGACATAAACATGAACAATACCGGACGCTGGAGCACACACACAGGGAACACTATTTATACACACAGGAGGAGGGGATGACGAGACACACCTGGGAGCAATGAAACATCATGGGAAACACTTGGGACAAATGAACTAATTAATCACACACACAACAGGAGACGAAAAATCACATGACGAGGACAGGAACATACATGTGACACTTACATTGTAAAACTCCTAGTCTTGGGATTATTGGTGGCAGTGATCTGGATGTATTTCACTATGGAGACCAATGGAAAAGTGTGATGTTTTTATGCAAAGATCAAA